CGTCTTTTGATGTGGAAATTCGCGTTATTTGTATAACTATTTTGTTATACAAGTATACAATTGTAACAATGAGTCGTCCAAAGCGAGTGAGAAAGCTAATAACCCTTGAAACTAAGAAAGAAATTATAAAGAAACGTGAGAATGGAAGAAGCATTGCGAAACTTAGTGATGAATATGGGATGGCTAAATCGACTATATGTACGATTTTGAAGAATAAAGAGGAGTTAAAAACTGTGCAAGTGGCAAAGGGAATCTTTAGACTTAGCAAAGCAAAGTGTAATGTGATTGAAGAGATGGAAAATTTACTCTTAGTGTGGATAAAGGAGAAAGAAATGGCAGGTGGTAACATTAGTGAAGCTATAATTTGTGAGAAGGCTAAACAATTGTTTGAGGACCTTAAAGCCAAGACTCCCAGTGGAAGTGATAGTGATGTGCCAGTGTTTAGGGGTACCTGCATGCTGAATAACACTAAGGTAAGATAAAGTACCGTATTTTTTACATTTTCCACAGAATTTTTTCAGTGTTAAGTGGTTGTATTTGGGGGCCTGGAACGGATTAATCCTATAACGAACGAATGCTATAACGAACGAGGTTCTGGAACCAATTACGTTCGTTATAGCATACCCCACTGTATGTCTGTATATGTATATATATATATATATATATATATATATATATATATATATATATATATATATATATATATATATATATATATATATATATATATATATATATATATATATATATATATACAGTCTACGCGGAAGGTTAAGGCACAAATTGGGCTGTGACTTCACTTTTAGCACAAATCGTTTTACCCTCAAGATAGGGATAAATTTTGATCAGAAATATTTAGTCACAATTCTAACGGCATCTGGAACCCGTAGGCGACAGCTGTCACATAGCAGGAACTGCTCAGTCTTTGTTTAGGTTGCGTGGGTGGAGGTTATTGTACCCATGTGAGCGCCACGTGCCGTGATTTTACGCCTGAGTTACAGTGCTTTATCGTGTGATTTCTGGGTCTTTAAGATGTCCAAGAGAGTTACTAAGCATGAGGATATTGCACAGGTGATTGGTTTATACAAGGCTAATCATAAAGTTACTGAAATAGTTGAATTAACCGGTGTGTGCCGCCGGTCAGTGTACCGATTCATCTCGGGGTTTGAGGCAAACAGCCAGGAAGAGTTGCCTACCCCTAAACCCAGGTCTGGGCGACCACGGCTTACGTCTCCTAGAACCAGGAAGGTGATTGCTAGGCAAGTTAATGCTAATCCTAAGCTCATGGCCCAGGAATTAAAGCAAGCTAACCCCGGACTCTTTGGTCAAGTCTTCTTAAGGTCGGTGCAGCAGCTTCTTCATGACGATCTCGGTTATCGCGCCTACCGACCACGCCGTAAGCCCCTGCTGACTGCTGCCCAGAAGAAGAAGAGGATCACTTTTGCGAAGAAGTACAGTGTCTGGTCCCTTCAGGATTGGAGGAACGTCCTGTGGAGTGATGAAGCCACGTTTACAGTGAGTGGTTGTGGTCACGATAGGGTGTACCGCCGGCCAGACTCTGACCCGCTCGACCCCAGGTACACCGTCAAGACGGTCAAGCATCTTGATTCAGTGATGGTATGGGGTTGTTTCACTTATTACGGTGTTGGTGAGTTGGTTGTGCTTGAAAAAAACATTAAAGTTAACCAGGGTGTGTACCTCGAGCTTTTGTGACCTTCTGCCTGACTCGTTTGAGAAAACACGCGCTGTCGTGTTCATGCAGGACGGTGCTCCCTGCCACACAGCCAAGTCGGTTACTCAGTGGTTGGAGGATTGCCAGGTTTCATATTTTAAGGGCTGGCCTGGCAATTCCCCCGACATCAACCCTATTGAGAACCTTTGGGGGCTCATGAAACGTCGCCTATGTGACCTCGACACCTTGTCCGTCCCCAAGCTCACCACAGCAATTAAGCAACTGTGGGCCAATTTCACCCCACAGCACCTGCAAAACCTTGCAGACAGTGTTCCACAACGACTGAAAGAGGTGCTGAAGAGCAAGGGAAACACAACAAAATACTAAGAGGGGTGGGTGAGTGTTATTTTCATTTTTTTATTGCCTTAACATGATTTTTTTATTTTTTCCCCATGGTGTGCCTTAACCTTCCGCGTAGACTGTATATATATATGTATATATATATATATATGTATATATATATATGTATATATATATATATATATGTATATATATATATATATATATATATATATATATATATATATATATATATATATATATATATATATATATATATATATATATATATATATGGAACATTCTGTTGCTCACAGAATTTCTTCACATCGGGAACGAAACAGTCATCAAACCAGGAGAGGGACAGAGTAGAGAACATCCACGCCTTACGTGCGGTCAGCCAGTGGACATTTAGCTTGGTCATGTCCATGCTCTTGTAGTCGTGCGGCTTGCGTGCTGTGTGGATCACCGATAACGTGAGCTTACAGGTACCGGAGGCATTGGTGGTAAACAGGACGGTGATGCGCTCCTTCTGCAACCTCCGGCCCCGACACTTGCTGTCATTCTTCACAACGAAGGTCTTGGAAGGTAGCTTTTTCCAAAAAAGACCAGCTTCGTCCATGTTAAACACCTGGTCGTCGGTGTACTGTCCTTCCTCCATAATCTCACGTAAAAACGGAGGAAATTCCCTAGCCGCAACACGGTCAACACTAGCTTCTTCACCACCAATGTTGATATTGGTGATCTTGTTCCTCATCTTAAACCTCTGTAACCACCCAGAGGAAGCATTAAAGGGTTTGGGCTCTGCAATTCCCATCTTTCGTGACACTGCAGCATACAGTTCACGTGCGTACTCCTTAACTGAGCGCGTGTCCACCGCCATGTTCCGTCGCACCTGACGAACCAAGTAGCTCACAAGTAATTTTTCCGTCTTGAGAAGCACCTGGTTGTGGAAATACTTGATCATAGAAGCACTTGTAGACTTTGTGATGTTCATGTGCTCCTTTATCTTGGCTGCATCCTTCTTAATTGTCCTGATCGTAGACTCGTTAACACCATGCTGGCGCGCGAGATCACCTGTCTTGTTCCTTTCTCCAACTCTTGTATGATCTTATATTTAATTTCGTAGCTTAAGGAACGTCGTGTCTTCTTTGGCTTAGGGCGGCTGGGTCCAGGTAATGCAAGGTTTCTTTGTGGTGGTGGCCCGGTGGGAGCCATTGTTATGGAACAATAGATACCGATATACACGGTGTAGCCGGGAGGGGTGTAACTGACGCGGGTAGGTCAAGGGGCTTGAACGCTCCCGCGGTGGGACACGTCATAGTACATTAAACCAATCATAGCTAGCAGGGAGGGAGGTAAGGATGCTTTGCCCAATCACAGTCCGATATGTCATATGACATTACCGATAACACAACAAAGACATACACTGCGCAACCTACTCGTGCCGCTTACACAACATGGCAGATGGCGGGAGGTTTGGATCCAAAAATGGCGCAGCGCGAGAGGACCGCCAGCCGCTCTCCGCGTAAAAGGGTACACACACAGCGGAAAGTGAGCAGGGTACCGCGTAAACGTGGAACCGCGTAAAGCGAGGGTTTACTGTATTAGTTTCATACATTTTCTGCATTATTAGCATATATTCCATAACAGCTAGTATAGTGCTGCGCCATTTTCTCAAATGATGTATGCTAAGCCACTTTCATTAATAGTGTACACTATTGAAAAAGGGGCAACTTGTAAAACCTTTAAAAATTCAAATTATATTTCTGGGTATTTTTCATGTTCTACAAAGGTTTACCAAAATAAAACATTTATTTATTATTTTTATACTTTGCATCTACATTATAATTTATGTTTTCATATCTGTACAGTACTTTATGTATCTTTTATTCACTGAAATTGATTTTCAAATGTCAGTATGTTAGCTTGGGTTGTGCTAAGCTGGATGAAATGTATCCGAGTTCCTTTACAAGCATAACATTCCTTAGTCCATATTCCTATTTATAAACACAACTGTATTCCCAATTAATAGCATGCCATACTTCACTAAATAAAGAAGTCACCAAGAGAGCACCAGTTTACACTGAAGGAGATGACATGGAGAAGACTCTCATTACTATTATTTACACTAAAGGAGATGACATGGAGAAAACTCTCATTACTATTATTTACACTGAAGGAGATGACATGGAGAAAACTCTCATTACTATTATTTACACTGAACGAGATGACACGGAGAAGACTCTCATTACTATTATTTACACTGAAGGAGATGACACGGAGAAGACTCTCATTACTATTATTTACACTGAAGGAGATGACACGGAGAAGACTCTCATTACTATTATTTACACTGAAGGAGATGACACGGAGAAGACTCTCATTACTATTATTTACACTGAAGGAGATGACATGGAGAAGACTCTCATTACTATTATTTACACTGAAGGAGATGACATGGAGAAAACTCTCATTACTATTATTTACACAAGGAGATGACATGGAGAAGACTCTCATTACTATTATTTACACTGAAGGAGATGACATGGAGAAGACTCTCATTACTATTATTTACACTGAAGGAGATGACATGGACAAAACTCTCATTACTAGAAACTTTCTTTTCTATTTTCATGAGCACTATATAATTCATAAGCAAAATATTCATCCCTCTTCACATTTCCAACTTTAGTTACTCTTTTCCTCAAAATATGATCACATACACTGACGCAGACACTCAAAATGGCACATACAGAAAAAATAGTCTCCTCTCCTATTCAATAAACCTAAGGGCAAAAATTTTAACTTATCACAAAAAATAAAATTTGCTTAGAACACAAAGGTTGTACAGTACACTGAATCATGTCAGTGTATATATCAGCATGAGCAAAATGCAGTGCACAACATTTAATTTTTTTATCATTAAAAATTTAAATTCAAATTTTTGAAAGTTAGACAAAATACAAACAATTCTAAAATGCCTCACCTGCAAACTGCCGCAATCTGCCCTTCATCCATGCATGTTTCCGTGACAACATCAGTCAGGGAGCCACCAGGTAAATATTCCATAACTACCTGTAATATACAGTAAAGACACAAAATACATTATTGAAATAAAAAGTTACAATTTGAAAAACTACAATTTAAGTGAAACTATGACAGTACAGTATTTAACCTCTTCAGCTTTATGAGCAAAAGTGCCACAATATGTTATTTTAATACAAAATTGTGAGTCAGGCTAAATTGTGAACATTACTTTTTTCACTTATTATTATAATAATAGCTAAACTATAAGAATATTGACGGTAATATTGAGGAGTAAATACAGGAAAACCTCTTTAATCCACCAAGGTTCCAATAGTTTTCTCATTTTGAAGCAGGCAGTTCACATTTTAAAACTGAGTGACTAGATTTATGAAACCAGAAAATTCTAATTCTTTTCTTTTACGTAATAGAAATTTAAGGTGCTCTTTCATGTTAGTGATAATTTTTTGGGTAAACTTCCTTTGTTTTTATACAAGTATATGTCTAGAATACTAAACATATTATTCCTCGTTATCCCTCGTTTAGTAATAATTTTGTTTAATGTTAGGTTTTCAGAAACACATCCCATCGTTAAACGAATGATACCAGTAATGTTGTTAGTGTTGGCATCATGGGTTAGCCTGTCAGGTCAGATATAATAAGGTAGTCCCAGCAAATTGCTTCAGTTTTAAGAGATACCTCATTGTCAGAATTTAAAGACTTACTTCAGATTATATGGTAAGAAACAATTAAACTACAATAATAATGTAAAAAGCATTATGCTTTTTAAAAGATGTAATTTGTAAGATTATGTTCAACGGTGCATTTAAACAAGTCTCGGAAGTCATCCCCCCCTTTCAATCACAAGAAATTTACACCAATGCAGTTCATCACTTATGTATAATTAAATGAATGGTCACTTTAACCCTTAAAGCCCAGGTTATGTTCCTCTACGTCCACCATAGCGACCCTGGGTGACGTTCCTCTACGTCCTTAATTTTCGCGATATAGTTTGAATGTCCAGGTGGGACGAAGCACTTTGTACAAGATATTTATTTACTTGGAAACTCAAATTGCACATAATCTTTGTCTCAAGTCTAGTGGTCCAGTTACCCACAAACTATCATGATGGATGCAAGTCCTTTGACGTCTCATGACATGCCTTGCCGCCACATACCTTCGACAGTAGCGCTACTTGATTTGAGTGGCAATGATATAGTATCGGATAACGAAGACAGCAATAGGGAGGAAACAGACCTAAAATATGTCGAGTTTGTTGAGGCCAGCGGTGTGGACAGTGATACAGAACAAGGACTCACTCTTCCACCCCACCCCGTGGATGCCGTGGTGGCTGTGGACATTGGGGACCACATGCATGCCAGCCACAACAGTATGCTTGGAGTGACTGTAATAATTTTATGCCTGAAATATCAGTTTTCAACTGTGGATTTACAAAAGAAAAAAAAATGTTGAAATATGCCCACGTGAGGGGTCCAGCAGGTCTTACATTGCCCCTGGAATAAGGGTTAGATATTAAGGGAGATGGTTCTAACTCATTTGTAGCACAGTAAACCCTTGCAATTCGTGGATTTGCGATTCGTGATTCATGATTTTGACGATTCACGGTAAGCAAATGGTGGTTATGGCAGCTAGCTTGCGAGCCTCTCCCACAGCGCAACGAGTCCCACAACACACCCACAGCGTCTCCTCTCCCTCTGTTTGTGCTCAACAATGCCTGTGACACAGCACCTCGTGTTGTACTTTGAAAACTTTAGTGTTTGTGTGAAAATGGCCCCTAAAAGATTGCCTAGTGTGTGTTAGTGATGCTAGCAGAATGAAACAAAGGCAAAAGTCAGTGATGACCCTGACAAGGAAAGATGAATTATTAGACAAGTTAAAGTAAGGTACGAGTGCTGCTGCGGTTGAGCGGTTGTTTAGTGTGATCAAATCCACAAAGCGATACCTAAGAAAGAAGTAACAAGCAATTCATGATTCTGTTCAAGCAAATGCTAAAGTGGTGCAGGTTGTTTGTGACTGAAAAAGCACTGAACATTTGGATTGAGGACCAGCACCGCAAAAAATTTTCCGATCGACAGCAACGTGCCTATTTTTACCAGTCAATGGGTGGTGAAGGGGTTAGTGTGGCTACTGAACCAACTTTTAGTGCCAGTAAAGGTTGGTTCGAAAATTTTAACAAAAAAATTCTCTCTTCAGAATGTGAAGCTGAGTGGGGAGGCCACATTAGCTGACCACACAGCCGCAATTGCAATTCCCGCCAAGCTGAAGAAAATACTAGAAGAAAAAGGCTATGGGCCAGAGCAAGTGTTTAATGCTGATGAATTCATTCTGTATTGGAAAAAATGGCTGGTAGAACGTACAAAAACAAGCAGGAGAGGCGTGCCCCTGGGTTCAAGGCAGCCAAGGACAGTGATGCTCACCTTCTGTGGCAGTGCAAGTAGCCACATGACCAAACCTGGCTTGCTTTACTGCTCAGCAAACCCTAGGGCTTTAAAGGGTAAAAACAAGAGCTTTTTGCCAGTTTTTTGGCAGTCAAACAAAAAGGCATAGGTAACTGTGCTAGCATTCCTGGAATGGTTCCATAAATGCTTCATCCCGGAAGTGAAAAAGTACCTTGTTTCCAATAAGATGGAATTCAAGATGCTATTATTGATAGATAATGCACCAGGCCACCCAAAAAGTTTACAGTTTAGCCATCCAGGTGTAGAGGTGATGTTTCTACCCCCTAACACCACTGCTCTTATTCAGCCTCTCGATCAGGGTGTAATACGCACCTTCAAGGCATATTACACCCAATGCTCTTTTGGTAGTATCTGTAGTGCCACGGACATTGACCCTGACCTAAATGTTAGCAAGTGTTGGAAGGAGTACAGCATTACCAACATCAGTGAAGCAATCAATGAACTCAAACCAGAGACAGTGAATATTTGTTGGCAAACCTTATGGCCTTAGTGTGTGAATGACTTCCAGGGATTTCAGTCCATAGTAAAGGCTGTGAGTGTTGCATGTCAGTTGGGTGGTGAGGGGTTTGTGGACATGGCCGCTGAAAACATGGAACAGTTGATTGATGATTGATGGGCACGGAGATGAACTGACAGAAAGAAGTTTTGGAAGAGTTGGTAAAAAGTGCTGAGGAAGAACAGTGGAAGAAATTATGGAATTGCAACAAGAAGGCTGGGGCTTCAACAATTTTGGTGAACTATTCTGAAATGTTAAAGTGGTAACTGATTTCATTGTTGAACACGACCCTTCCATGGAACGGAGCCTTAAGATGGTCCAAGAAATCAACCAGGTATTGTTTCCTTACCAGGAAATGTTTAAAGACCTCAAAGCCAAGAGAAAACCACGACCAACCACCATGTTTTTTAAGAAAGAACCAGCCGCTCACCCATCTGATTCGTCTCCCTCCCTCACTCAGTCAGCTGCTACCGCCACTGTTCCACCACCCTCATCCTCCCAGGCACCGGCCTCCCAGCGGTGAGCCTCCCTATCACCACTGACTGCATCACCCTCTTTCAACAGTGATCCTGATGATCCACCCATGCTTCAGTAACCAGATGTCTCCCTATGTACAGTGCACCACTTCATCAAGCTCCAAACTTCAAAATACGAATATCAGTAGTATTGGTGACTTAAGTTTCTCATACAGAGTACTGTACAATAATAGCTCCGTTAGCTGGAATTCCTTAAACCTGGAACTCTCCAATAGCCAGAATTGAAATTTACTCGGAATTTTTCCGGAAAATCCCCTAAATTCCGGGTTTGGGAAAAAATTCTGAGGTTGAAAACCAGGAGCATTTTCTGAAAAAAAAAATCCGGAAAATCTGTCCAAATTTTTATTTTTGGGTCTGGGAGCAAATATCGATTATGAAATAATGCGCAATTACCAGAAAATCAAAGAAAATTGAGAGAAAATCACTCCAAACCTTTCTGCTCAGGACCTGGGGACAAGGGTTGGTGCGTGGGTGGGAAGACCAACCACTTGGGTAATGCTGGATTTTTCTGCTATGGATCTATTTATAATTACAGTGCAGATATAAATGTCTCTTTAAATGTCATACAATATTAAAAAATTAAAATAATACAGTAATAAATCAATGTAATTCTGAGCAGAGCTAATGAGGCGAAGGGTGAGGTGACGGAGTCAGGTGGTGAGGTGACATGCCAAGACACTTACACAACACACACATTAACAGCACTACTAAACCATTGTCTTTCAACATTTTACTTTATAATTTCTATTTTAAAATTACTTGATACATGATGGTTGAATTTGGCTACTTTTCCACTTAGAGAACTGATCAATGAATAAAACGGCATATGGAGACGCATCATACACTAGTGATGTCACTAAGCTTCGCAACTGCAACCACAACTGCTGATCAACCAAATAAATTATCACAACCTGTATTCAAATGAACTAAGTTTATTACTAAAATAATTGTCTAGTGCAAACTAGGGGATGTTTATACTCAAATTGATCGCTATCTTGCAAGAATTCCAGCATTGTAAGTTATATTCTCTTAAGTCAAGTCAGTAACATTTTATAAGCAAAAAATTAAACCCACTGCCTTTCATAATCCTTGAGTCCCTGACAACTATGTAATATGCATTAATCCTCCCTCCTGGCTGTCAACAACCCACCTCCCCCTCCCCCCAGTCAGCAGAGGAGGCAGATGAGGTGGGTGAAGGTAGTTTTAGGCTTAAAGTTTTCTTATAAAATGTCAGAATTGACTTAGGAGAAAATAACTTGCATTGCTGGAATCCTTGCATGATAGCAATTAATTTGAGTATAAACATCTCTAGTTTGCACAAACAATAAAAATTTTAGTCCTTTGGCATAATACATTTGAGTACAAAATGAGTACAGTAATATGTTGCTCAAAATTATGGCTTTTTCACATGGAAGTCTGTATAACTAGCCCCAGTGGTCAGAATATTATGGTATCGAATGTTACAAAGATTTTGAATGAATTCTTTGTTTAGTTCTGTACATAGAGACTTGGGGTTAGAAACTGTAATAATTTGAACTT